TGTTGCGTTCAATGCAGAAAACAAAATTGATAATAAAAAATTGCTGCTGCATGATAAAAGTTATAGGTATGAACAATTTGTCAGCACCTTTAATGGTTAGTATGTCATTAATGTAGAGGCACACATAGTGGTGTCCAGCTACGTGTTGTGATTGTTTTTCTTTATCGTTTGAAAAAATAAAATGCAGAGAAAACACATTATCATTAGTAGTTAGAGGGGTTGTTTTTTTTATGTGAAAACCACGTCTTTGTACTGTCATAAAATCCCAAACAAAGTGCAATAAAAGTTGAAGAAATATTGATTACTGTGAAAGGTGATAATGTCAAAAACAAAGACATAAAAATCACTATATCCACTTCCCTGAAAATGCTGTTTTATTGTCCAAAGTAAAGGCTGACTGTCGCTGTGTTTGGGTAAAATGATCACAAAGTGTTTAAACAGAATATTGCCAATATTCAGTAATCTATACCCATATTGTATCAGACAGCTATATATAAAGTATCAGCTGGGAGGAACTGCTATTTAGCTTTAAGTGATCAGTTTTGCTTACTGGACTAATCAGAACTTCCTCTTTGATGCCAACCTTGACTTTTACCAAAACTTGCTTCATCCTTAAAGCTGCACTATGCAACCCCAACAAAAATAGGTTTGTGTAAAAGTATGATATGAGACAGATAAGCTGTGAAAACACTGAGCTCCTCCATCTCCTTTCAGTTCTACTATTTCAGTCTGCAGAAATGCACAGACCCTGGTCAAAAACGACTAATCAGATTCAGGAGGACGGTGTTAGCGCTGACAATTACGCTCGTGTTTGCTGCTCAATGTGCTAATGGCGGAGAAAAACAACTTAGAGTTACGGGAAAACCATTAATCTTCTGTGTCTATGCTAACCAGCCTTAGACTCGCTAGTTAGTGTAGCTGTAGCTTAACAAAGAGCAAGCAGGAGGGCATGGACCCAATATGACCCTCGCCCTGCCTCTGATTGGTTAATTCTGAGTTTTCATAGAAGTTACTAACTGTAGCATTAACCATGATAACCTGGTTCAGTGACCTGCAGACTCTTTTGGTTTTGACTTGACTAATTCAGCACCTTGGACAGCGCCCAGCTGCGTCTTCCTTGTGGAGCTGTGGGCTTTAAGGACTGTTGCAAAGTGAAATAGGGACATACTGTGTCTTTACCTATAGTCAATTACATCTTATATCACAGAATTTTTCCTTTTTTTTTTCTTGCAACACGTAAACATCTGCTGTCAACCTTCACAAAGTCAAAGTAAGAGCTTGCTGCGTAAGGACAAACTGTCTTCTTCAACAAAGACATCATTCTTCACTTGAGAATTCAGTAATGCTGCTTTGTATTGTGGTGCTAAAATGTGACCCTGCAAACTTTTCTGTTTTCTTTTTCACAAGAGCCGAAAATTCCAAAAAGCAGAATGAAGTTATTTATTTATTCATTTATTTATTGCAGATGCTCCGTCAAAGCCTAAAGTGAAAACAGAATCACTTGCTCATTCAAACAAACTCTCACTTTCAACCACAAACACACACAAACAGTCTTCCATTCTCTGTGGCCCAAGGTGGATTTCTAGAGGTGCATACATTTGCATACATCTGCATGTTTAATGAGTTTTGGGAGATCAAGCGATCTGAGCGGCCCTTTGTGGGTATTTCTTTCTATTATTGTGTGTGCGCTGCGTGTGCGCTGCGTGTGCGCGCGTGCGCAAGTGGAGAGGAGGGGCGGAGGGGGCGCCTCCATGTAAATATCACCCACTGTGTGCTGGCACCCGTCACAGATGGTCGGGGGCGAGGGCGCCCTGTGGGCACAGGATGCCTATTTCTGTGTATCTGTGTGCTTTGAGGCTACAAGGCAACGAGTGTGAACCGTTGCGTGTGTGTGTGTGTGTGAATACTTTGCACTTGATGTGTTTGTGTGCCATTAACTGTAAGAACTTGTTATGAGCCTGTTTGTCCCTGCGCTTGTTGCAGAGGGTTCATTTGAGTAATTCAGTGTCTGCACGCATGTCTGCTTCAACGGCTGCGGTCACATGACGGCGATATGTGTGTGTGTGTGTTTAGACACGCTGCAGAGCGTGCGCGGCTGTGCTCGTGTGGCTCCCAGCATGCAGTGTGGCTATGATGGCCCTGTTTTGGATGATTGATGTGTTGGAGGGAACAGCGAGGAGCCCAGGTTGGGCCAGAGCCTCAGTCTGACACGCTGCTACTTCCCTGCTGCTTTACATATGTAGACGCAGCACGAGTCCTCCTCCCCTCCCATCTGACTCTGCCTCAGTCTCACAACTCAGCCAACACTCACAGGTTCTTTTTTTTTTTTTTTTTTTTTAGGAGGGCTAGGAGGAGGGATTTTATTTTGAAGCATTCTGTTTATTGCGAGAGGGAAGACTAGAGCTGTCTGCTGCCTGACGGACACTGACATGCACACATCAGTTTTCACATGCAGATGTGGAATTTGTTTTGCTTCCTGAATACAATCAATAACAACTCTGGCAAACAAGTTGAACCTGACAAAGGCTCAATGGCATCTTGTTGTTTACCACATACTTGGCACAAATAATGCCTCAGACTTTGCATGTTATTAAAAACAAGAAGCATGCTTAAAATTTCCATGAATTGGTAAAAATATATGTCGGGTCAAAACATCGATTTTGTTTAGTCGCATTTTGAGTCAGATGATGATTAAGCTAATCTTCGCCAAATATTTGAAATGGTTTTCGTTTGGTTTCTGATTTTGTTTGTGTTTGTACGGAAGACAATTAGGGCCACAAAATGAAAAAGAATTCTGACCTCAAAACTGTTGAATGCAGCTTTTATAAACATAACTTTTTACATGTTTGTTAAAGCTGTCACTCCGTTGTGATAGAACGTTATGAGTCTGATAATGGCTGTGCTAACTGGCCTGCACATTCGCGACAGGCTCTGCCGTTGGGAAGAAGCTGTAGCATAGCAGAGAGCAAGGGGCAGGATTTGAGCGGTGCATACATGAGAGTGATTGACAGCGCTAAGATCCTCCTCCTGGCTCTGATTGGTTGTTTTTGACTGAGCTGTGCATTTAAAAATGCAGAGCATCGTCCCCCAGTGGCCTTCAGGAAAAACAACAACACAAAAAAAACTAATGGAGCATGTGGACGTGGAAAGGATCCAGTCTCTTTTTGAATCAGAACCACCATGAAGGGCTTTTCCTCTCTCTTGTCTTCAGGTCTGCGTCTGTCTCTACCTCCAGTTCTCTCTTTGTCTTCTCCTTTCTCGTTAAAACTGTCTCTTCCCCTCTCTGTTTTTGTTCTTTTCATGTCTGTGTCTATCAGACTCCCACTCTCTCTCTCTCTTCCTCTCTCTCTCTTTCTCTGACATCTCATCTTTTTTTTTATCTAGTGTTTGCCTAACCCCGTCTCAGGATCTCTTTCTAAACTCCTTTCTATCACATGGTCTTACTTTCCTCTCACCCATTTCGATATCCTGCCATCTCTCGCCCATCACTAATCCCCCGCCCCGCCGCCGCCACCTCTTTTCTTCCTCTCTGTAGTTTCTCTCTGGCTTTGAAAACCTTCCACTCTCCCTTCTTTATTTCAGCTTTTGCTAATCCCTATATTTTCTTTTGTCTCTCTCTTGTGTAGTTTGTTTCTCCAGCTCAGGCTTTGGTTTGCCTTTGCTAGTGGCTCTTGCATTATTGTAGTGTGGATGAATGCAGTAGGAAATGATTTCTGGAGGTGTTTTACCGTGAAGACGGTGCACACAAACACTGAAACGCCATTTCATCAGAGTCAGAGACGTCAAGTTACCCACAAAATTAACTATCGCCCCAATTAAATGCAAGCGCTGCGACTCAAAATACTGGCTTGATCGTATTTCCCGGCAACAGCGAGGTTAAGACTTCTCACACAGCCATGTCAGCCTTGTAGAAAGGCATGCTGGGAGGCCGGGAGGTATACAAGCCTTATTGATCCACCTGTCGCATCCAGCTGTTTGTTTACCAACAACAAATCAATGCAACTCTCAACTGGGGAGCAACCAGGCCTGGCTCTAGATCTGCACTGAGCCCTCTCTCTCACACACACACACAAGTACACACACACACACGCACATAAAAAACACCAAGCACAGAATATACACAAACTACTGCATGCCTGCTCGATGCAGATATTACCGGTATATACGATTACTTGTATTTGAATTCTTATTTTTCATTTTCCAAATCATAAGAATCTTAATTTGTCTAAAGTCGGTACACAAAGAAACAACAACATTGATATCATCTGGAAATAATAATATAAACTTAAGTGTATTTGAGACTTTATCTCATTTATGTATATTATGAACAAATACATGGGACCAAATACACACCCTTGTGGAACACCACAATTTATGTCCATGTGAGCTGATTTGTGCAAACTGTCGGCTGTTTTTAAGTAACTCATTGCCCAGATCTGATCAGTGGCATCAAATGCTTTCTATAAGCCTAGAAATATTCCTGCTGCATATGCTTTTTTATTCTACAGCGTTTGAGATGTTGATCTTTCTTTTCTGTAACCATGCTGAGAATTCATCAGAGAATCACAGCTTCACTGCTGTGATTGGTTAAAACATTTTCTCTACACTGTTTGTTATTTCATATTTCTTGTAAAACCAAATCTAATTTTTGACTGGATCTTTACTCACAGTGTTTTAATAATGTATATAATCTGCATTTTTAACTCAATTTCAGTAGACCTGAATGCAGCTTATTGACTTTAAATGTTTATTTTAGATGTAAATTTAAAACTTGTATTTTGAGTGCAGATTAAACACAAAGTGATCTGAAACTGTTAGCTGACTAAAAGTTGTCGATACAACCCAATTCCAGTGTGCTGTTTTACAGTGAAAAGTTTCACCTGCCAAAGCGGGTCCTCCTCTTTTTTATAATATGGTTTTGTTTTTTTGCTGGTGCAAGATTTTCTCATCAATCTCTTTTGATGGAAAAATGACATCTTTGCTGCTGTGTTTATTTCTAGGTGGCTGACCATAAGGGCAGCGTGTGGAGCTGCAGGAGGCGCAGTGAGGAGGAGGCTGGCGGCGCTCTGCTCAGCGCTACACTCATCCTGTACGGCACCCACCACCCACACAAGGCCGAGCTCGGTATGTGAAAGTGTCGGCCTCTTTTAGTGCTTTGAACTCGCACAAACTGAGGTGAGCGTGCGGGCGAGGACGCCGGAGAAGTGTGACAGACCAGACACCGAGCGAGATTGGAAAACCTGACAAATTATTCATTTCATGACTTGATTTCAGAAATTTCTTGTGTTTTTACTTTTTATTTTTTGTCTGTTTGTTTTTGCAAGTTGTGTTGATCCAAAAGACAATTATGTCACCTGATTGCATATTTTTGGGATAGTTTTGTTTTTATAAGTCTAATTTTTCTTTTAAAGGTACATGAGCATTTAGGCTCTTTTATAAATTCCCACTCAAACTTTTGCAATTTGATTTCAGATTCACTTTATTTTGGTTCATTGACAACATGTCAAAAAGACAGCACAACAAAGTACTCTTTGCAAACCAATACATTTTTCTTTTCTCGAACACTGAAACCGCTTCAAAAATGTCTTACCTTACTTTTTTTAATAACATAAGTTATTTCATGACCTGTGAACCAAAAACTTAGGAATGAGTGGTGATGTTTTTTTGGGGTCTTTTTTTACAATTTTGCAAAAAGAAAGAAATTTGACGTCTAAAGCAGTGTGGCTCCCACAGTAAATAACACAAATAACCCCAAAAACAATTTTTTAGATACTTTAAATTATTTTTAGGAGACTTAACAGATGTCAGAAATTTGTAATCAATAAAATGATTGCACAAAAATGTAATTGATCAAAATTTGGTTGCTGAGCAACAAAACGTTACACTGCAGGGTTTCATGTTTCTAAACTAAAGCAATTTTTCTGCAACCAAAACAACTTTTTCTTACTAAAACAGCTTTTGAAGGGGTTAATAATTCCAGAAGATGATTAATGTATCATTACGATAAAGTAACAATGGCATTTATTTCACACAAAAAAACTTTTAAATTTGTTAATCTGTAATCTATTGCTGGCCATCTTTAGTATCCAAGCAATACAGGTGGAGCGCAAAACGAAGGGACTTCTCAGATGTGAAGATTTGAAATGTAACAATGAAAACATCAGAATTTTCATGAAAACATCAGAGAAGCGTCACCACCTGATACCTTCCCTGAAGCGGCTGGAGCTCTGTGGTCAGCAGAGTGACCACGGGAGCCCTGATGTGTAATTACAGTGTGACCCCTGGCTGCCCCCTCCCCGGTCTCACATGCACCTCGTTAGTGACAAGGCTAAGCCAGCTGCCCCAGCGCCCCTGCTGGGGGGGTTTTGGGGAAACCCTGAATCACACTTTCCTCTGTCAACTTGAGCTGCTTGTGGTCGGAAAAAAAAAAAACAAGTCACAGTCTTCCACAAATATTGATTGACTGAACATTTGTATTCATTTTATTTACTCCTTTTCTCTTATTTTTAGCAAGATTTTGTTGAAAATTAGACTAGAGGAAAGAAAGACGATGATAGAAGATGGAATATGACAGAAAACTGGTGGAATTTCACAGTGGGAGCCTTATCACCCTCTGAGAGAGAGAGAGTGTGTGTGTGTGTGTGTGTGTGTGTGTGTGTGTGTGTGTGTGTGTGTGTGTGTGTGTGTGTGTGCGTGTGTGTGGGGGGGGGCGGGGTGTGTGTGTGTGTGTGCGTGCGTGCGTGCGTGTGTGTGTGTTTGGGGAGAGGAGGGATCTTGCTCTGTCTTCTCTTTTTGTCAAAATGTTGATCTCTCTGTTGAAAAATCAATGGTTCCCCCTTCTTTCCCTCCCCTCCTCTCTCCATCCATCCATGTATCCCTCTCCATGTCTCTGGATCTCACCCAGGTTCAAGCTGTTACTCAATCTGGTGTCCATGCACACACACACACACACACACACACACACTAACAGCTCATTCACTGGTTCCTATAGGCTTCTGCTGCTATTCCTCCTCTCTTATTCCCATTTCTGTCATTTAAATCCTCTCACAGTCACAACTTTGTAATTCTAAAGCCACAGCAGCTTGCCATATATCAAGGTAAAGCTAGGTGTGGTAAATTCGATAAATTGTTTCTTCTTCTGCCCGCTAAACTAGGCTAATTTGCTTTAGCAACATTTTTTTGCTCACAGAGAAAAGAGGAAAAATGAGGATGAAAGTTTATTTCCGAAACTATCATAAAGTTTCTATGGATCTCAAAAGAAAATGTTCTGTCAAATGTAAAGGTTTTTTTTTATTTTGAGATGTAACAGGAAACTGAAAAGACAAAAAAGAAACTGTAGTTGTCAGGTTAAATTAAGGCTCCAGTTGGAGGTCAAGACTAAGTCTTACATGTTGATAGGTTTTGAATTTGTGAATATTTCAAAGGTATGTTTGTAGAGTCTTACAGGAGAAGACTGAATGTTCAAGGGTTTGCCCATTTAAGCAACTGAATTATTTCAAC